GTTATCACACAACACTCATTTGTTCAATGGATACTCTTTTTGGATAGTGGAACAGAATGATATTTAGTCAATGTTAGATAACCTGTTTCTCATGAATTCATCTCTTGAGTCCAGTTTTAGAAAATGCACCAAATGTATCATCACTCTATGGCCCAAACAGTCATTAAGGACCAAACAGTGGTCCTTACAGGTGCCTCTTCTAATGTGAGGAGGAATGCACTCAACAGGTTCAGCTCAGACTCACCTGTCAGTCCTGCTCTTGGCAATTTGATGCAGACCACTTTCAAATGGTTCAAGACAGGGATGGGGGAACCTGGAAAGAGAATGCTGTAGTTCAACTGAGTATAGTTATTAATCTGATTTCTGTCGCATCTCCCGACAGGAAGCATGATTTCTTTTTATTCAGAAAAAAAAAACAACTTTAATGCTTTAAATGTGTATATGTATACCGGCCTTTTACACATTAAATCATTTAGAATTGATTTGTCTTAAATTGAGAACACAATTTTTGGAAAGTGGATCAAGTTCAGTTTAGGCTGAGAGGAAATTAGAGGCGGCTGTGTCTGGAGGTCTAGCTCTCTGCTGTCTGTCTGTCAGTCTGTTAATCTTGCAGTCTCTTCAGGTTACCATTCACACCAGGTCCCTTCCCATTGTCTCCCCTGAAAGCTCCACCAGAGCTCTAGGGTCTCTCTGCCTTTCTCAGACATGGAGAACATTTTCTGCCTCTCTGTGTATTATTCACTCGGCCCTTTGCAGATGCTAGTTCAGCCTTCTTTTAAGATACCGGTTATTATTGTACATTACAATAGAATCCGGCTTCTAATTCGCCCGGCCCTGTTTGGTACATATTGCTTTGATTCTCCTATAATGCTTGGATGCTATTCGTCACTTTCCCCTTCTTATTTGCAACTATCAACATCATGTTGAGAGGAAAGAGCCCAAAATGCGATCGCAGCCGTGAAATCAAGCAGACCCCCAGAAGGCAGCAGCGAGGAAGAGCTTGTCATTATCAAGAAAGTGCTCTGAGCAAAGTGGAAAGACTCCAGGGGCCAGCAATCTGTGTGTGGAAAGGAAAAAGGAAGCGAGGAGCTGGCCATCGGTCTTGCCAAATGAAGCAATGTAAGAAAATATTACATTGTGAATTTCTTTCCATTATTTTCTCAAGTAGGTCCAGCAACTCAGATTAGGAGAACAATGCCTGAGATGCTGGAACAAAATCCAACGCCTTTGATAAAGCCCCGGGAAACAGGAAAGAGCAAAATTATTGAGAAGAGGCAAGTTCTTAGGGGTTAAGATTTTTTTTTTAATCAAAAGGGGTCTTCAGAATTGTGACATGTATCTTACATTTTTATACATTCTACCAATTTTTTTTTAAATTAATGAAGACATTATGGGAATAGGAAGAAGCAGAGTGCTAGAGAGGTCCCCAGGAATCCACAAAGATGACACCACTATAGACTACTGGCAATGGTCAAGAGGGTACCTGAGCTGACCTACCCCGGTGATCGGATGGCTGAATACCCAACTGTCATCATAGAACCCTCATCCAGTGACTAATGGAAGCAGATGCAGAGATCCACAACCAAATCCCAGGTGGAGCGCCAGGAGTCCAAACGATGAGAGAGAGGAGGGATCATATGAGCAAGAGATAATCGCGACCATGATTGGAAAAAGCACAGGGACAAATGGCCAAACTAGTGGAAACACATGAACTGTGAACCAATAACTGAGGAGCTCCCATGGTACTGGACCAGGCCCCTCTGGATAAGTGAGACAATTGTTTAGCTTGAACTGTTTAGGGGGGCCCCAGGCAGTGAGACCAGGATCTGTCCTTAGTGCATGAGCCAGCTTTTTGGAACCTAGTGCCTATGCTGAGACACTTTGCTCAGCCTTGGTGCAGGGAGGACGGGCTTGGACCTGCCTCAACTGAATGTACCAGGCTCTGCTGACTTCCTAGGGGAGACCTTGCCTTGGAGGAGGTGGGAATGGAGGGTGGGTTGGGGGGGATCTGGGGGTGGATGGGAGGAGGGAGGACAGGGGATTCTGTGGTTGATATGTAAAATGAATAGAATATCTCTTAATAAAAAAATTAAAAGGGAAAAATAATTATGTGGGAATTAAAATATTGACTATACCAATCTTTTAATCAAAGGACAGAACATTGTGGTTATGTTGCATATGAGAAGTCTTCAGTTGATGAGTCTGTTATCACTGATCTTAGCTTAGCAAGGAGCCCCATGATGGACTTATGGTGAAAATGTAAAAGTTAGGTCTCCAAGCCTTGGTTTAATCTTTATTATTTTCTCTTTCTCCCTTCCTCTTGTCTTTCAATACCCTCCCAGCTCTGTAATTCTTTTGTGAGATGGTTGGTTATTTCATTTACTATTTTGATTGGGTTGAATTTTCAGTGTAAACCATTATCAATCTATAGAGTAATGCAGAGGATGTCTCTGCATTCTGCTAAATACTCACTTTTAGTCTTCCATTGTCTTTATTACAGTCAAATTATTGAGATAACATTAAAGGACATTAGTGAAAAGGCAAAACATTCAAGAGACTGGGTTTAAATGAGGTCTTATATAGAGAGATACGTGAGCAGACGAAGGTCAAGGGAAGGCCTTGGGGATGGTAAGAACCACACCAAACTCAAGCTAAGGGATGCTAACAAAGTTTGAAATTTGGAGGAAGGAGAGCGTGGGTTGTCTTTGAGAGTTCCCATGAAAATTTGTGACTAGTATAGGACCACGTTCAGGTGGGAGGAGGGGACAAAGTTGTACCTGCTGAATATCATTGAAAGCTTGGCAGGAAACGAAGCCAACGTGAGTGAAAAGGAAGAGGAAATTACCAGTGACACACAGATGCAGGGCTCTGTTAAGTAAAGAGACGCACTGGAATGGAAGCGAGGGCTGTAAGGGAGGAGGGCTAGCTTTGCCAAAGAGTCGTATCGCTCAGTGTTTTAAAAGTTGGAAAGGATGCTTCCAGCTGGAGGAATATGGCAGCTTGGCAAGCCGTTCCCTCTCCTGAGCGTTTCTCATAAATGATAAAAGATTTATCTCGGCTGTCCAGAGTAGTTTGCAAAAATGTTTATTAATGAACTTCAGAGCAGATTCTGATCTTGCTTGAAAACAGGTGTACAGTTGACAGTCTCTGGGTAACTAAATGAAGGCTAATCAGTCCTCTAGCTGGAATAGCACCTCTGACCCTGACTCTTAAAGAAAAACATGTACTCAGCCCCTTTTGTTTTTTGTAGAATTAGAGGGGCTGCTTTTACAAGCTACATTCCTTATTCCTCTTTCCCTTTACTCTTATACAGTTCCACCCCACCATCGTCTTTGTGTCCCGTTCTACGTTCTTGAATGACTTTAGTAGGATGCCATGCGGGAACATAGAAGATTGGCTTGACACTGCTGTTGACAGTTCATCTGTCAGGGTGTAACTGTCTGGCATGCCCAGTCACTGTTTTGCATTCCTTTGCAAAGTATGCCTTTGTTTAGTCTTGAGGGAATCGGCTTCCCTCATTTTTCCATACACTCAGAACATGGCTAATGGCCACTCTGCTTTGTATGGAATGCAGATGTTTGCATTTTCACACGGTTTAGCCAATCAGCTCGCCATTCCTTTTGAAAATTGCAAGGTGTCTAATCTATAGGGAAGGGGTCAAGATATTTTTTCTCGTGCCATTTCTAAGAAAAATTACATAGATCATGGCAGAGAAATTGTGCTCCTTTCCAATTTATCTCATTTATTTTTCCAAATTCTACAGTCTGCTTTTAAGCCACATGTAGCATGTTATAGAAGGCCTGGCTAATTAGCTATTATCCTTTGAAGTAGAAAATCCAACATGCTTCTGAACTAGACCATCTTTTATAAAAGCTAATTATTAAGAATCTTTCTAATTTTGTGTTGCTATTACACACTATAATTTTGAGTGCATCCTAGATCTTCCTTACATAAAATAGAAAACTTTTCATCTGCTCTAGGAATTTAAATGTTATGTATTTCTGCCTGACCTAGATGAATTTTAATACTACTACTCAAATACATGGATGATGTCTCCAAAAGGTGAATGGTATCTAAATGTGTACTTTCAATTATGTATTTTAAAAGTTTTTGTTTTTAAGAATAAGCTTTAGGTACTGAAAAATACTTGTTACAAGCAAGCATGTTGCATTTGCCAAAAATAATGTGTGTATTCATGTGTGCATCTATGTGCATGTATGTGTGTGCATGTATGTTTATAATCATCTTAATATAAGCTGATATCCAGATTGCTTCTTTGCTCTTAATTCAAACCACAAGTCATGACTCTGCATGGAAAGCAGTAGCCTGGACTTGCTCCTGTTAGAAGTGGTGGCTTGCTCCGTACCTCAAGGAAGTCTTGGAGGGAACACAGCTCTGAAGGTAACTGTGATCCAAGCCAGCTTAGGGGAGTGGTGATAATGAGACCCAGCTATCCCAACCACAGGGAAAGAAGTTGTAAGGACTCTTTCTGGCATGGCCAATGCCTTTGTATCTGTGCCTCTTGAAGTTATTATGAAATCGTGTGGGCTGGGTGGTGAATACTCATTTTTCTTTTCTTTTCCCTCTTTTTGTTTTGCAATGTACTTTATTTTGAACTAACTGAGATGGGATTTTTCTCTATAATGTAGAAAATTAAATTACAGGATGGATGTGTGATTGATTTATTTACGTATTAACAGCAGCCATGTATGTGCTCAGTATTTTCTGACTGATGAAGTTAAAAAGAACTGAGATCTTGTGCCAGTTCTTACCCCCCACTTGCATTTCCTAAGGTTAAAAATATACTGTTTTAGATATGCAAAATTCATAGCAAATTATGAACGGTCTCTTGGTAGCTATAAAATGAGTCTTTAGCACTTTGCTGTTATTAGTCAATAATTATTTAGTACATGGAAAAAAGATATTCGCAAACATAGTAAAGTATTTAATGTTATTGGCTGCAGTTTGTTGAACTATGCCATTTTTTTTTGTCTCCACAGAAATTGGTCCAGTGACAATTACCACCGATCCCAAAAAATTTCAGTATGAACTCAGAGAGCTCTATGTTCAGGTGAGTGAAGTGGGAAACCATTCATCTTTGGCTGACTTTCCTCACTTTTAAAATCTGAAGGAAGCAATCGTTCTCTCAGGGGACTCAGGACATGTCATGGCCTTTCCCCACCCATGTCTAGAATGAATCAATAGATACAGAATATGATATTCTAAGTCCTTTGTACAGCACCTACAGCCGCCTTTGCCCTGTGACAATGGATCCGTGAAGTTGGGACACAGGCTGTTTGTCTTCTTTACAGAAACTATTTGCTGAACCCTGTCCTAGAAAGATCCCTTCCCCTTGATACCAAAGAAATGGTTAGTAATTCTTCCTCACAACATAAAAAACCAGAACTAAGGTCATTGTGATTCTCCTTCCTCTGACTTGCCCATATAGAAATGTTGAGTGTAAATATCATATCGTGACTAGGAAAGACCAGTAGCATTCATTTAAGTATCCTTCTGAAGGCAGTACTTGGAGAATGAGTTGGTGTGTAGTGTCCCTTTCGTGCTGCTTTGAGATTATCCCTAAATCCATTCCTTAGAAGAATTTGCTTCTGTGAGGCTGTAGTTACTACACTTTCTCAGCGGCTTCTGACGCTCTCATCTATGGGAACCCTCCCCCCCCTTTGTCACTTTCCAGCATTCATCTAGACCATTGTTCATAGTTTCCCCTCAGGGCTAGTGCCATGCCAAGCGACTTCAATGTGTGTGGTAACAGCCATCCTATCCTAGTTAAACAGCACCTCCTCACTCCTCATTCCTTGACTTACTAGCCCATCTCAGTGGACCTTAACCGCATTCTAGTCCTGAATTCCCACAAACATCCTGAACCTTGTCACTATTTCAAGTCTTCCATTTCCCAAATAACTAATGCAGGTATCTCAGTCTCCACCAACCCACTGTCCATAGAGATACTGAGGCAGCTTCTTATGCTGCTTATATTTCTTTACATCCACCGGGGACTCCAGGCAAGTGGCTCGTATGCCTTCTCCCAGGCCATTAGATCTTTCAGTTTTTCACTTTCTGCCAATCTGAGTTCTGAGACTTATCATTTTAAAACACCATTTTGTCTTCCCTGTGCAGCGCTTTTCTGTTCTGAAGGCAAAACCTCATTTCTAAGTGACTTGACTATCCGAACTGTTCATGCTTATCCACCAGTTGCGGAGGGCTGTGACCGTCTCACAGCATGGCAAGTGTACCCCCTGCCCTGTGACAAAGAGGCAGTGAGATGAGAACAAGCCTGGAAGAGAGAGCAGGACTCTAGGAAGAAATCACATTCAAGATAAGAGTATTTTAAAGATTGTAAACTCTGCCGAGGGAGTGCAGAAGAGAGCATTTAAAGACAAGAACGTCCTGTGCAAAGAGAGCAGCCGATGCAAAAATCCCGGGAGAAGGATGAGGACACAGATATGGGGGGATCTATGCAAGTCCCTTGAGGCAGAACACAGAGCCCGGGGAAACGCATGGCCCCAGAAAGGGATGAGAGGTGGACGGGTCTCAGACATTCCAACCCATGGGAGTGTTTGATGAAACCCCCACAGGAGGGCGCGATGAGACCATGACCACCTTTCTTGCCCTCTCACAGTTCCGCTGTGTTTCTTTAGTCAGTTCAACCCCTCATTCCTTTTACTGGCAATTTAAAGTCTCACTCACTCTCCTTAAACCTTTATTCTGTAACTATTGGAAATCCTATAATAGTTGCTGTTTCAACAAGTGTTCTCCTCAGAGCAAGTGACTGGCTTCGGTTTCATGTACAGGCATATAGGAATGAAGCCTTTGGCTTCTCTGTCCTTCATGATATTGTCCCTTTCCTCCTCGTTGACACTCCCTTTTCTCTCATCCCTTCTCCTATTTTTCTTCCCACTTTCCCCATGCAACTTCCTGGGAACGCCTCTGACCTTCAAATTGACCAGCAAACATTGCGGTTCCTCCAGCTTTAGGAACTGGATCCCACTTTCTCCTCGTTTTGTGGCCCCTCTTTAAGTAGACTTGCACGTGGTCACATTTGTTTTGAGCCTTAGTCTCTTTGGAGGAACAGATCCCCATTTTAATCTCTGGGGTGTCAAGGTGGCTCTCTAAAATGGGACTCGGAATGTTCCTTCTATGGTTCTCCAAACCTGACCCTTAACCCTCGGTCTCTGTCTCCTGTTTGTCAGCTTCGTAGATGTTGCTATGGCACTGTGATTAGCCAACCGAATATTTGATTCATTGCTAATACACCTCTCACCTACCTCTTAAGCTAACTTTGGTAAAGTCTTCTTTTAAACTTCATAGATGTCTTTAAAATCCATTGAGTTTCTCTCTCCTAACACCACCTAATTCCGATGACTTTACTGAACTAGTGGAGGAAAGCACCTAACTGATGTTTTTGAGTTTGCTCTGGCTTTTACTTTTCAGTCCTTTTGTGATCGGTAGATGGAAGTCTCAGAACGTATCTCTGAACTTTGACCCCTGCTGGGGCTTCATAAATACTCCTCGTAAGTTGGAATGCCTGAGACCCGTCTACCCCTCATCCCTTTCTGGGGTCTCGTGTTTCCCCAGACTCTGTGTTCTGCCTCAAGGAACTTACATAGATCCTCCCCATATCTGTTCCTCACCCTTCTCCTGGGGGCTTTTGCATAGGCTGCTCTCTTTGCACAGGAAATTCCTGTCTTTAAATCCCCTCTCTGCACTCCCTTGGCAGAATTTACAGTCTTTAAAATACTCAGTCCTATGCTGAATGTGATTTCTTCCTAGAGTCCTGCTCTGTCCTCCAGGCTCGTTCTTATCTCATTGCCTCTTTGTCATAGAGCACATGCCACATTTACATCAAAGGAACATGTTTGATATCATTATACATCATATATTATTATGAAATCTTCGGAGTAAAATGCCTGACATGTACAGTATGCTCACATAGGAATTCAAGTGAAGTGATGGACAGATATGCCAGAATCAGCACGTGAGCACAGGTCAAAACACATTTTAAAGTATTAATGTCTGATTAGTTGCAGTGTTTGGTGAACAGCTTGATTGAGAACGCTAAGGTTGCTTCTGTTTTGTGCATGTCTTGATGTGCATACCACACTGAATTATAGTTCATGAATATGTAAATGAACTTGCGAAAGTATCCCAAGTATTCCTACGTTTTAATGAATTTTCTTTTTGTCACCTTCCCTATCAGTAATCATCCTCCTGCCCTTATAGCTTGTTGCTATAATAGTCATTGACTTACTGCTTAATTCCTAGTCACTTTTTTCTCCCTTAGAAGAGAAAAATCTTGTGAGCCACCATGTGATTGTTGAGAATTGAACTTATGACCTCTGGAAGAGCAGCTAGTGCTCTTAACCCCTGAGCCACCTTTGCATAAGCAGGACAGTTGTGTAGCTTGGTCTGCTTAAGGCAGTAAAATCAGGATCTATCCTTGGTGCGTGAGCTGGCTTTTTGGAGCCTATTACCTATGGTGGGACACCTTGCACAGCCTTGATGCATGGGGGGCTTGGACCTGCCTCAACTGAATGTACCAGGCTCTGCTGACTCCCCAGGAGAGGCCTTACCCTTTTTGGAGAAGGGAATTGGGGGGTGGGTTGGGGAAGGCTGGGGGCAGGGAGCAGGAGGAGGGAAGAGAGTGGGATCTGTGGTTGGTATGTAAAGTGAATAAAAAGTTTCTTAATAAAAAAAAGAATAGAAAAATCTACAGGTGTTGAGATTCTCCAGGAAAAAAAAAAGTCTTATAGAATTGTTTATTCTGCTAAGGGATTATGACTTGAGGAATTCCATTTTCTTGGTTGCCTCAGTCCCTACATTCACTCATTCTACTGCAAACCCCTAATGACAAGAGCCTTGTAGTTCTCTCTGTAGCCTGTGCGCCTTTTGGGGGATTAGCCAGGGTAGTAGGGTGTGGTTTACATAGCTGTTGCATAAATGAATGCCACTTCTTTTAAAAAAATGTTCATTAGCAGCAACATTATATCGAGATGATTTAAACTCACTGGTGCAAAGATGTCTTAAAAACCCAATGTCAGTTTTCAATACATTGAAGAGACCTAGAAAGGCCATGTGAGGGAGATTTCAAGCCGAGGACCTATTAGGAGGAGATTTGCTGTATTCACCTTCTTCTCTGTAAGAATACAGATGAACTATCTTCACAAAAGTCTGAAAAGACTGAAAATAGCCACGTTCCAAAGAAGACCTGGCACCGCACTGCCATTTCCTGCCTCTCCCTGTTTGCATTTTGAAGGATCTTCAGGGAGTGTCTGTATTCTCCGTGCCATTTGTCTCCAGGGTGAAGGATCCCGCTTCCTGACTCACACCCCCTTGACTCTGTTGGCAGAGCTCTTCTTCCCAACACCCTCTGGAACTGAGTCGGATGCAGTCAGTGTCTAGGATAGTTTGATTTTTACCTCCATTAGAAAAAAATCTCTTTCTCTTGGAACTGGAGCTGGTGTCCTTGTCTCTGGACATTTGCTCTGGGCGAGGCACATCTTATTATTATTATTATTTATTGCCGTTTTGTTTTGGCTTGAGTTGTCTAAGATCCACAAGGGCTCAATTAGAATATCTTGTTGAGAAAGAAATCATATATTTAGTTTTTCCTTTCATTCAATACTGGGCACTATTACAAGCATCAAGGATACCATGGGAGTATTTTAATTTGAATATTTCTAGTAAATACTTCTTTTTTTTTTCAATTAATGGAAAAAATTGTACTAAGTAAGGGCCAAATTAAAAAACAAAAACCAAAAGCAACAAAATCAACTTAGCACTTTACATTTAATCTAAGATATATATATATATATATATATATATATATATATATATATATATTCTCTTTGTTCTTTGCTTGGAGAATATTTTATTGTTTCGTAAATTAGTATGAGCAACTATGTACGTTATATATTTTATAAACGGTTCGTGTAGGATAATAATTTTGTTTGGGGTTTAATTCCTGACCTCCCATATCCCTGCCAAATCACTGGCATCAGGCGAAGCAAGGCTCCCTGTTTTATTAAAACTCAACTCGTACTTGTGGGAAAG